ACTTTTAGAATTTGAGAGTACATAATAAAGAATTTGTTTCCAGAAGAAATATAACTGCTGCTGCACAAATAAGTACCTGGTGAGTACATGACGAAGCTGCTGTTGCCTACAATTAGCCATTATATTTGTATTTAAAAAATTGGATGCAAAGGGATAGCTTGCTGAAACCATGCATTAGCATAACAGGAAACTCCCCTTTGTTTGTAATTAATTTAAAATCTTTGGCTTGTATTATAATGCGAAATAAAAATAAAGAGGGAAAGGAGTTTAAAATCGTCTCCACTCTAGCAGGATTTTCTTCACACGTGGTAATCTTGTTTTCTAAAAGCCAAATATTAAATCTATTAAAAAGCCTTATTGTGGCATGTACAGTTTTAATGGGCCAGATCCTCATTCAGTATAAATCAGCCTAGCTCTATTGCCTTCGGTGGAGCTATGTTGAGCAATCTTGTCCTAAGCCTTTTACTGCATTAAACCAATCAATCCTCATCTGAAAATTGGCTGTTGTGCCTGTTCGATAACTTTTCTGTAACTGTGTTTACAAGCATCCACATCCACATAATTTTGAGAAATGTACTACTGAGCTGATAGACAATGTTCACTTTAGGTGTTTGTAAAGCTGATGTATTGATTTATGTATATTTCAGTAGTGCCCATTGATTTATGTATATTTCAGTAGTGCCCAACCCCCCTTTCCCTGTCCCAAAGACATCATTTTAGACACATCTTAGAAAAGGAGGCAATCCAAACAGTGTAAACATACAGGGAGGAAGCTTCCAGATAGAGGCTGGTGAAAATGGTTGAAGTCCATGGGGCTATGACAATTTACACCAGCTCAGGATCTGACAAATTATAATAGTATCTTTTGGAACAACTGAACTTCTTTTGTAAATCAATGTTTAATACTATGTCAGCACCGTTAGATAATATGGCGAGTGCATTATGAACTAGACCAATATTTTTAGGTGAAAATGGGTTATAAACAGAGTAAAATGAAATAGAAATATATGATACTATGGTAATTCCTCATATAGGTCTTAGTTTGATGTACTCAATGCACTTTTTCTCATGCCTCTACCCTGCATTCCTCTAGATTAGTAGGATGGAATCAATGTGAATTGATCCAATTTGTAGAACACAATTCTAATATTGATAGTAATTTATATTCATTTGCTTTTACCTAATCTTTTATTAATGGTCATCTTCAAAATGTCAACTAACGCTGTTGCCCAGAAATTTTGTAGCACAAGCTTGATAACGAGAACAAAAATCTACAATAAATAAATAAATTCTAGCTGCTGAAAAGAAACTAAAAAAAAAGCTTTATATGAAGTAAAATGAAGCCATGTGCTTAGTGAAATTTTAGTGTACCCTTTTCATTTCAGGGGGCTTGTAGTTACTACGATATTTAAAATCTCTCCATTCACAAAAAAAATATTAGTTTTTAACTTTTATCTACTGTGCAAGCTAACATATAGGGATGGAAAGTGTGGACAGAAACTGATTGGTTTTGGTCATGCATCTTGAAATAATGTGTGTTGGCAGCAATGACTAAAATGGCATGCTTCCTGCCATGTTCTACAGTACATTGCTAACAACATTTATGCTAATTATAAGGTGAATAAGAGGGGATAATGGAACTCAGATATCAAAATTGTTTTACATAAAAATATGCTCGGGATGCTCCCACGTGCTTAATTTTGATATATGCCTAAATACATGTGAATAATATTCAGCTCAAGCTGAATTAGAAGCCAATTTGTATTTAGAGCAATACATAAAATACTTAAGGTATTACAGCTTATCGTAATGAATGCTGGCTACCCTTTGTGAACAGAGCTTCCCTATAGGCCCTCCCACCTCAGCCCAGTCTTGGGGCCAATCTTAGAAATGGCCCTGCTGTACATACCACAAGCCATAACACCTGAGGAGGCGGGACATGATTGGCATTGGGATGAGGGAGAGGCAGAAGATGGGCAGCAGCTTTGGGTTTTCAGTGAGACGGAACAAGGAGAAAAGGGTGTGTCAGTAATTGGCACTGAAGAAGAATGGAAACCAGCAGCTGAGCAATACAGCAGGTAGCAGGGAGAGAATGAATGTGCCTCTTCCTTACTACCTGGCCCCTTATTTGAACAGCTACTCCCTGTAACAGAATGTTGGCTTAATACCTGATCACAGCCTAACTGTTCAAGTAAATATATCTTCAGCAGATCACTGAAGTATAGCACATGGTACAGTATAGCTCTTCTGCACTGGGGGGAATCTCACCTTCAGTGAACTGAAAATGGTAGAATTCAACCACACCTAGAACTGAACTTCACTTCACTGATCATCATCAGTGAATGGTGATTTCCACGCAAAAGCCATACAGTAATCTCCAATGTGTTGGTTGAAATACCGTGTTCTTTGAGACTGAGTCAAAAAGCTCACATTTCACAAAGACTGGGATGATGAATAATGTTCATTCTTGGATTATGAATGAGGATGGACTTACCATTAAAAAATCTGCTAAATATCATACTGTTTTTTTCTGGTATTACTAGAAAAGAACGCCTAATCCACTCACTTCCACCAGTGAAAATAGATGACTGAGGCCAACATTTTCAAATATTGAGCTGGGGGTTGGACTAGATGACCTCCTGAGGTCCCTTCCAACCCTGATATTCTATGATTCTATGTATGACTAAAGTAATGCCCCTAAATAATGTCAGCCTGGTTATTAGATAGGTTGAGCCCCATCTCTCCCCTTTGGTTCACTCAATGCTCAGCACCTTTGAAAGTCAGATTGCTTTTACTTAGGCACCTAACTGAATTCACATTAGTTTAAAAACGTTAGCTTAAGAATTAGCGTGTAATGTTTATTACTACCCATTTGTAATAGTTTGACATACCATACGTCCTTCTAGAATGGGAAAAAAGTGGTTTAATTATATTGTTTTTCCACATAAAGACGCATGCTAAATTGAAATATACTTACCCTGTAGCTGAATAGTAGCTAGCAGTCCATCACCCACTTCTTTTAATATCACAAATCCTGAGCAGACTGTGTTGGATAAATCTCCAAGAAACAATTATTGAAGTGAAAGGAATATCAGCAGGTTGGTTGTGTCAAATCACAGTATGTGTTCATTTTTGTTTTTTAGCTGGATACAGCTTTTTGCCTGAGCAGGTGCAGTAGGCATGGAATCTCTGCCTCTTACTTCATCAAAAAGTCCCATCCTACTGTTTTTTATTGCTATAATGTAAAACTCTGACCTCATCAACCCCTGCATGCAAATAAGTGAACAATCTGGAGTAGTGAAATGTTGATGCTCTCACTGCCCTGCCACTTTCTGAGCAGATTTTAAGTATACACTTGACATTGGCCATTACTGAGCCAGCAAAGATGAATGGACCAATAAATGAACATATTTTGCCTTTTGCATCTGTCCTTAGAACAAGTCCTATGTATTTATTTATTTCCACTACAGCTATTTAAAGATGACAATATTTTAATTGATTAATTTTAAAAAGTCTGATTGAGTACCCTTAAATAGTTTGTCTCAAATTTCATTTTTTAAAATTCTTTTTTCAAGATTTTTTTTATCATCTATTTATCAGGGTCTTTTCAAGAAGAAATTGATTATCTGTTTTCATTGCATAGCAGAGACATGGATTTTTAAGAAGTGATATCAAATGAACAAAGTAAACATATTGAGAAAACAGAGAAAGTATTTTTACTAATATATTTCTGGTTTAGCAATCATAGTTGTTTTCTTGTAACATCAGCAAAATTTTCAGATAAAAATATAATTTTAAAATTAACTGTATCAATCTTATTATACGACAAACTTTAATATCTGCTGAATGTAATAATCCAGGAAGTATGTTAATGGTAAGAAATGTTATTCTTGTTCAAGGTCTTTAAAATATTTAGGTAATTATGATACACATCTCAACAAGTACTTACAGTAGAAAACAGAAGAGAACTGTAAGTCAATAGTCAGGCATACTTTCTAATGTATTAGTGATAGTCCAAGTACAGTATTAACTGATTATATTCCAGACCTGCCCCCACTTATAAACTGCAACATATTCAATGTCATTACTTTTAGCCATTCCTAATACTTTTCAACTTGCTATTTACATAAAGAGAATAGAAATAAACCTGCATGCCATTTAACATTGTGTATTATGTAGTTGTACATAAAGATGTGCTATAATGATATTGATAAAGTAGAGAATTCGTTTGTGCACTGCCAAACCACTATGCTGTGTGGTTTTGTTTTCAGAACTTGTGTGATTATTTTTATTCCTTCTGTTTTGACTCCTCATTATTATTATACCTTGCGTCATGAAATTTCAGACTAGTGATTTATCTTACAAAGTATTAAAACGTGATTTCTCTGAGTTGGGATTTTTTTTTAGCATGTCATTGAAATTGAGTGTTTCTTTCAAGTACCTTTCAGTCTAGGAAATGTATCTCTTTCTTATGATGATAAACTGTTGCCTTTTCATAGATGAGATCTGGCCCCTGCCCTCTCCTACAGAGAAGATATGGTACTTATATCAACCCTCCCCCCTGTTTGACAAGACACTGTCCCCCCCTTCCCACCTCCCCCCCCCCACCACACACACAAAGAGGTAAAGTCCCCTGAGTCCGTAATTTCCAGGAGATGAAGCAATGATGGGGAGTGATCACAGTCAATAGCTTTGATTAACAATAAGGTAGAAAATTAGCAATGCTAGCATTCAACCACCCTGCCTACTCTTCCCCATATGCTCACCACAGGCTGTGCTGGCTGTTTCTCAGAGTGTAGACTGAGCACTTTACAAGCTGTGAAGTAAGAGCAAAAGGTGCAGTAAAAGGATTAAACTAGGGGAATAAGGAAATAGAGTAGAAAGCAATGTTGCTGAAGCTGTTACAGTGTTTAACACAACACAGGCTGTGGAAGGATAAAGTATGCTGTGTGTTGTCACTGTGTGTCTTTCTGTCATATGTGGATTTATTTGTATCTGGACATGTTTTGATGGAAATGGAAACTACTGTTACTACTGTGACCCCATCAGCAGCTCTGGTGTTGTTTCCGACAGACTCTGATGACCTAGAGAGGGGGAACGACAGCGGGACGCCACTTCCCACCTCTGATAATGATGACAATTCGCTGGGCTACACAGGTAGAGTTTATCTTTCCAAAAATATTAATAGTTCCATATTGCTCACACTTTCCCACCTGCATCTTCCATTGCCACCTGTATGCAATTCCTTAACCATCTCTGCTACTGAGCTATCATCATCATTGAACATCAGCATTCATACCATTCTGCAGATAATGTTTGGATACAGCAGTGCTGTATCAATACACAACTGTCTTCAGTCCTTTTTTCTTTCAGTAGGTTCAGATTGTTTATACATTTGTAATCCTATGTATTACTGGGGAATGGAATGGAAATCTCTTACAAATTGTGTAAACTGTTGCATGACAAAAAGAGTTCATTCCCAAATAATTTGCTCTGCAGACTGACACTCTTTCTCCATGTGTTTATTTGTTATAAACAGCAACAAAATATACTTACATTGGAGAGAAAAAATAACCTGATGATTAGAGAAGTCTCTCTGACTTTTATTTTGCATTAATCTTTAAAGAAATACATCTGTTGGTCAGGAAGGTAAAAGATAAAGTAGCACCACTGAGTGCAGTGCAGCAGAAATCACTGAAGAGTCCAATTCTGCCATCCTTATTCACACTGAATGGTGCCTTATTTCAGAGTAGTCCTGTGGAGCCAGATTTTAGATCAGCTACAGTGGTGTTAGCGCAAAGTTGCTCTAATTCTGACCCATTTGGATTATTCTTGAGTGAGTCAGCGTTAGCCAGGATGGCAGAATCTAATCCTAAATTATTATCTGAAAAATGTGAAAATCAGACGTGTTGTTTATTATTTGCATTTCTGCTGAGAGTCACTCTTGGGTTGGGGAGTGGGAAGGGAAGATGGGGAAATGAGTGAGTTACACATTTAACTGTGTTTCGGGATGGACTAATAGTGAAATGTCTTACCTTGTACACGTGGCTTGTTGTTAGGTAACTAAAAAAAAAGACTCAAATATTTTAAAATAAAACTTAATCTGTACAGGACACACAGAGGGCAAGGTGGGGGTAAGAAACTCTATACAACATTTACAGTGATTACTGCTTGCATTACCTGTCCCTAGCAATCACTTGTGCATTGTAATATTAGGTGTAAAGCTAGCTTTGTAAAATCTATTGTGTTCCTTTCTGAAATATTTCCTTCTGAAAAAGGGAAAAAGCAAAGCAATATAATTAGCCACGTATGCCCTCAAGGCGCAGAAACTAAACTAAATAAAAGCATATAGAATGGCTTTAACATCCTTACAGGTTTTTCATTCTATTATAACATTATACCCTGCAGGATACTATTATTTCTCCACTCATGACTGGTGGATGTGCATATTTGAAGGCATGTTTGCACCCTGCAAATGTTCCTGAGTAGTCACACCTCTGCTAAATTATGTTGTGCTAATCTGCTCTGAAAATTCAGAGCATAGTGAGCAGCAGTATAAAGTATTCAGGAATAATGAATATATCTTAAATAATATTTTACACTTATTGAAAGTGCATGATTCTTCAGGGAAATAATTCTGTTTAGTGGCTAGAGCACAGGACTGCGAATCACAATTCCTGGGTTCTGTTTCTGGGTCTGCCACTGCCTTTTTCTGGGTCCAGGGGTTAGTCACTTAGGGACAGATTTGAAAAGGTACTTAGGGGCCTAACTCTCCTTGGTACCAATGAGAGTTAGATGCCTATGTGCCTTTAAAAATATGGCCCTTAACCTCTCTGTTCCTCAGTTTCCCCACCTGCAAAACAGGTGAAATAATAATTATTCTACAGAGATATTTATACTTATGTGTAAAACACTGAGTTTCTATGAAGAAGGGTATCAAATAATAGCAAAATATTGCTAATTATTACTGATTTCTATTCTATGTGACATTATATTCATCAATACCTTCAAGCCATGGCCTGCACATCACATTAGCAGATGGAACATGTCATTGCAAATAATTATTATTGGGCCAATTATTTAAGTACTTCTTATACAGCACCCATTACCATGGTATCCAAGCACCTCACAAACATTAATTGTTTTATCCTCACTACAGTCCCATGAGATAGAAAAATATTTCTCCATTTCATAGATAGGAACCTCCCACCAAGAGACTAAGTGACTTGCCCAAGATCATACTGGAAGACTGACAAAGCCAAGATTGAAAGACAGATCTCTGGAATCCCAGTCCAGCATATTAACCACAAAGACATATTTTCGTGGGGATTTTACTGAGAGGTATAAAGACACAATCATGTATACAATCTGGACAGACAACAAAAAGATACAGAAGGGGGGATTTTTTGGCAGGTAGAAGGCAGGGTCATGCACAGGAATAAAAATGTGATGGCTTTTGGAGGGGAATTTTCTATTCCCCTCCCCCTGCAGCCCCGATGCTGGAGAAGCTCACTCTCTTCACCATAGCCCTGGGGCCAGAGGAGCAGTCAGTTTCCTCCAGGGCCAGAGGAGCTCATTCTCCCCACCACAACCCCAAGGCCGGAGGAGGCCAATTATTGGAGGGGTGCATGCCCCTGCTTGCACCCCCGCCTTGTGCACGCCCCTAGGAGGAGGGTAAAGATTTTCAAGTTTAAAGATGTTGTAATAACTGATTGCTGTTTCTGTCTTATCCTATCTTATACCATATTCAACACCATTGTACTGGCACATCTCTCTTTATGGAAAAGCTCTATGGAATTTATTAGGCAAAAAGCTGCAAGATATAGAAATTTAATACTGTTCTATAGAAATTACACTCAAAGCCTTATAATGTAATAGAAAAAGATATCCCTTCTCTACTTTTTTTTTGGCCCATCCTATAGAATTTAACAGAAAAAGTTATTGTCTATTAAATTCTACAGACGTTTTGAAAGGGTCATTTGCCATGATCTCTCTTATCTGAAAAATTCCTTATCCAAAATTGAGCTAAATCTATCAACAGTACCATGTGTACTGAAAAGTTGTCCATTTACCTGAAACTAAAATCATCCAAAGAAATTCTCTTCCCTCTGTCCCATTTGGATAAAACAGGGTTTGCTATATTATTTATTGGGATTTTTATTGTTTGTTCATGTAGTATGTTTATGCAAACAAAACAAAGCAAAATCAATACTCTTAAGCACATATAATTAACAAAAATTTACACGAATCCCCACTCATGGATAATTAAATTCCAACTAATTAACTGAGCAGCAACTATCTTACACGATCAGCAAATCTCCCAGCCAACTAAAATGTCAAGTTGACCAGATGCATCTTGCAGCAGATCCTTAAGGTTGCCACAGTCAGGCTGTGGTGGAATGTTAGTAGAAATGATTCAGCTACTGACAGTGTCACACCATCTATCCCCATATGAGTTCAACTCTGCGGGTAAACAGGCAAAGCATTCTTGCTGTTTGCAACTGATCAGGTGGTAGGTTGAGGGTTAGGCATTCTCCAAGATAGTCATTCTCCTTGCCCTTTGTTTCTCTTTCCATAATAAAGTATTTCAGGGTGAAGATATGCAGCTCTTACATATTGCACATAAGGGATGTTTACATATAGTATATAAGTTATAAAGTGCCTGGCCATGTTCCTATTAAAATTCATTGGAGTTGTGTCATTAACTCCAATGGCAGCAGGATAAGTTAATTACTCTGGTGAATATCTTGTTCAGAGTACTTTTTTTTTAGAAATGGAGACAGAGTAAACTCTTGTAGGGGAATCCAGGAGCGTCTACTCCCAGACATATTTTTTAAAATCACATTTTGGCAAACGCTAAAGTTTAAAGTATTCTGAAGATTTTCATTGTCGTTGTTACAAATATGCTAGAGATTAAAGTCACACCTTTTACATGTGGTGAAGCAATATCCAGAGTGGTTGGGGGACAGACTACACTAAGACAACAGAATTCAGTTTGCATGTTGAAGAGAAATCAGTGAAATAATCTTTTGCAAGGTAAACAAGTCTCCTTCAACATCAGCTCTTATATAAAAAGCATTAATTAGGCCAAGCATTGTGTGATAGCAAGGGTAGGCAAGCTATGGCACCCATGCCAAAGGCGGCACACGAGCTGATTTTCAGTGGCACTCACACTGCCCGGGTCCTGGCCACCGGTCCGGGGGGCTCTGCATTTTAATTTAATTTTAAATGAAGCTTCTTAAACATTTTAAAAACCTTATTTACTTTACATACAACAATAGTTTAGTTATATATTATAGACTTATAGAAAGAGACCTTCTAAAAA